ACGATTTTAACGTAAAAAGGTATTTGTTGTACAAAGGGAGTAAAGATTTTTTTAATAAGTAAATTTTTTTAGTAAACAATTTTTTCAAGTATGTGACAATTGGATGTAAAAACGTGCCAAACTGAAATGCATCTTACTTTTATAACAAAATGAAGAAAAAAAGAAAAGAGGGAGCGAGGAAAGTCTCAGAACGTAAATGTTTATGTCTATACTTTTATGTCATGAATGAATATGTCAGTGAAAAAATTATTTGTTTGCAAAAGTTGCAGGACAAATAGCTTTAAAAAGGACCGGACCATCTATATACAGGCCATCGCCAGTTCTGACATTGGAAGATTGACCTTGAAAAATACTAAATAAGATGTTGTAACAATGCCAAAAATTAGCACGTGAACTTTACTAGTTTATTTTCTTCACAGGTATTACATGGGTTTTCAACTGGTCTCGTTTACCTTCGTGCATTGTTCAAGAAGCGGAAATGGGTAAAAAGTGTGGTACTCTCAATGCCTTTTCAATACTCAATACTTATACCTAGTACTCTCAATACTTTTATTAGTTTATACTTAAAATATTTTCAAGAGCGTGCTTTGTTCAAGAAACAGAAGTGGGTAAAAAGTGTAAGAAATCTACTGTCCAATTTCGTTTCCATCATAATTATGATAAAATAAGCTTTAATTTATACTATTTTATAAGGAGTTCCAATGATTGCCTAGTACTTTCAATACTTTTATTTGTTTATACTTAAAATATTTTCAATAGCGTTGCTTACTGATTTTATTTCATTGAGCTCTTAATTAAGTTCATTTCAGAAACTGTTTTATTTTAATATCTAAAAAATAATACATCAAGTTAATGAACAAAATCAATAGCACAAATCATTAGCAAACAATATTTAAATTTGGTTTAAACGTGTGTATATACATTATTGATGTCTTATTTTAAATTTAAAAGCAGTTTAGTTAAGTTAATTTTCTAAATTAAACTAACCAGTTTCAAAAATTATCGATTTTGTATTTGTTACATTTTCGAAAATAATAGGGCATCTAAACCCCCTTAGTTATTTTTCAATAAATCGAAGTGAATGTCAGAGGCGAATTAAAACAAATGCGACATGTAAACAATTCTTTATTGCACTTTTCAGTACTTACGTATTATCCTATAGACCATTTAAACCAAATCAGAAAATAAGTTTTGAAATAATTTAAATTTAAATATTATCTATTTTTTTGCATGCAATAAATAATATTTGCATTTATCAATGTCTTTATAATCAATTACTATATTAAAATAAATTTTAAAGTTACCAAAATAACTTCGGCATAATGTTGGGGGAAATAGTCGCGGGATATTTCGTAAATGCCAATTTTTTTAAGGAATACATGGCAAATAGGCTTGGTCATAAATGCAGATAAAACAAAATATATGTTATTCTCAAGAAACAGAGTCCCAGACACCTATCTTGAAATAAATTCTTATAGATTTGAAAAAGTGAGGAGTTTCACCAATTATTACCATTGACAACAGAATAACTCCTGAAATAAAAAACCGAATCTATTTGGCGAATAGGACTGTCTATGGACTGAGAAGATTTATTAAATCTAGGTTTCTTTCTAGAAAAACAAAGTTCTTAATCTACAAAACTCTTGTCCGACCTGTCTTGACATACGCCTCTGAAGCTTGGACAATGACAAAACTGGAGGGAAATTGTATCGCAAATATTTGAGAGAAAGATTTTGCAGAGTATACTTGGTGGTGTAAATGAAAAAAATAACTGGAGAAGGAGATTTAACTTAAAACTGTACAAGATTTATAAACAACCTGATATTATTAAATACATATAAGCAAATAGAATGAATTGGATCGCCCACGTGATTCGAATGAGTGACGACAACACAATAAAAAAGATACTGCTTTTTAGACCCACTGGAAAAAGAAAGCGGGGACCGCCGAGGTTGAGATGGGCTGACTCAGTGGAATCTGATTTTCTTGCAATTAATGAAAAAAATTGGAGATCAAAGATAAATAGGAAGTCGTCATGGAGAAAATTTCAGAGGAAGGCATTGGCTCACATTGGGCTGTCTGACCAACTATGATGATAATGTATATGTATTNTTGGCTCACATTGGGCTGTCTGACCAACTATGAAAAAAAATTAAATTTGTGTTTTTTTCCAAACATTAATACACGAGAGCTTATGACTTAAACACTTTGTAATCCAGGAAGAACTGAAAATTCCTTATTTAATTCTTATTTCTTAAGAATTTCAAGAAATAAGGATTTTACATACAATATTCAAATTAAAATAGTAAACTTTACCGGAAAATTTAAAATTCAATGTTTTTATAAGTTAGGAGAAATCGAATAGATACTATTAAGCGAAATCGCAAGAAAAAACTTCCATTCAATATTTTTGATTACTATATTCATACTAGGAGGCTCCGCCCCCTGCTCGCTAACGCTCGCCAACCCCCGAGAATTGCTACGCAATTCTATGTGGTTCACGCCGTGAACCATGGCTCGCTGCGCTCGCTCGCCAATGAACACAATGTTCTAGCACAAATACATAGTATTTTATCATCAAAGACATAGTATTGTACTTATTTAGAAGAATTCTATCAATGTTCTTATTGGCTTTTAAAAAAGTATATTAGCTATTTAGATTGTACATGGTGAAAAAATCAAAACATTAGCTAAATGAGAAACATATTAGCAAAATAAATTATCAAATATTGCAGTTACTCACCTAAATTCAACTAAATGTGTATAATAAATTAGTTAATGCTAGAAATTCTGAAAGTTTTAGAAAAAAATTTTATTATTTAAAAATATAAACTTTAAACCCTAACTTTTCCTTGTGAGATAATAACCCTCAAAAAGTCTTTCATTTTCAAGAACACAAAAATTTGTTTTATCGCCAAATGAAATATTTTTTGGTGATCAGCATTATTGAAATCAATTTCTATATTAATTAACATTTGTGATAAAGTACATAACATTTTAGAACAAAATAAGGATGTTTTACATACAATAAATTAAAATGCATGGCTGTTAGCATTACCCGAGAAATACCACGTGGAGGTCGCCATGCTGCATTTCTAATCGGGGAGTTTTGATTTTGGCAGTTCCCCTTGCCTACTGCCAATAGAAGTTTCAATTAAATTTTTTCCAAAAAACATTTTTTTCTGCAAAGCTCTAAGAAATTAACACTAAGCATTTAGAATTTCTTTGAAAACACAATTATAGATTTGGCATCTTGGAGCAATTACTGAAAGGCTGTCAAATGACTTAACTCTTGACAGGCCAACATAAAGTTGTCCATGACTAAAAACTTGTTTAGTCAATACTAAACTGATTTTCTCAAAAGTCTGACCTTGTGACTTATTTATAGTCATGGAGAAGGCCAGCCTAATTAATTCCTAATTGAGTTTAAATTAAATATTATCATGTTTTTAGGGCATGAATCTGAATTGAACAACCTGATAATGCTCACTCTGGTTATTGTTTCCGTTTTTAAAAGCGCTATATGTTGAGCCACCTCATGTGACATTTGCCATGTGACATTTTTAGCAGCAATCATTGGTCGATTTTCTAACGTTGCCATTCGGGGAGTTGTAAAGAGGCTTTTTTTTGGTGCCGTGTAAGAGAAATATATATATAGATTGTTAAAAAATATAAAATAATCGCTGTAAATTTACCAACATTTAACGAGATTTAAAGTTAAAACAATACTGTAAGAGTATAAATAGTTAAAAGTTTTAGTTTTTACATAAGTCGAAGAATTTTCCGCTATGACTCTGGCTGCTTGAATTGAGATAATTTTCGCAAAAAGGAATGGTTAAATTAATTTAAAGTTAAAACTGCAGAAAGGATGTGAGATTTTAACGAAATGACCGCTGGATCCAGAAATCTAAATTTTGTTTCGTAAAATTTCAAAAATAAAAGCCACAAATTTTCAAAAATCAAAAAAATTAAATATTAAATACAGTTTATGATAGTATTTTTCCCAAAAGGAAAATTTTTAACATCTGTTTGCATTTATGTTTTAAATTTTAATATTTTCATCAAAAAGTTAGATATTTTTGCCAAAAAAAAATCGCTTTTCAAATTTTTACATTTGAACTAGCAAATAAGGCAATGCAAAAAAAAAAAACGCAAAGTACATTTAAAAAGTGATTGGACAATTTTTCTACTACATAATGGACGGAAACTAATCAAACTTATGCTGATAGACTTCTCTTTTTAATCTAAAAAACGTTTTGTATTCGGATGTATTAACTAGATCATTTAAATAGCTGTAAAACTTTAGCTCTCTACCCTGCCAAGTAAACTGGTTTTGATTGGATTTGAAGTTACTTCTGTATTTTTTAATTATTTAGGCAACTAAACTAAATATAACCCTTTTTTAAGTGCTTTAAAAAAATTGAGTTTCGTGGTACGAGATGTTCTCTAAATGGAAAAGGAAATTAAGCTATCGATAAAAATGTTTGATGTACAGAGTTAGTGCCAATAGCCTTATTCCTTCCAGATATTAGTATCTTTTGCACAAGAGTAAACTATTAAAAATTATTTTAAAAAAATTATGTGTGCTAGTTTCTGAATACTTTACCTATTTTTTTTGTTATAAATTCTTACATGGGTTCTTACAAAATTTTTAATTATTTTTTTTATAAATTTCAGTTCATTAAGAAATCAATATTGGAAAGATTAATGTAATAGTTTGGATTCTTTCTTTTCAACAATTTAACTTTTTTCATTTCATTTAAACAATCAAATACAAGAAAAAGTGTTTTCAGAGTTTATTTATAACAATACATGGATTGAAATAGTTGGGAAATGCATAGAAAGTTTGATTGTTAAGCATTGTTACCGAAAATGTTAATTGTTGAAAATAGATATGAAATCAATTAAAAATACTTTGTTGGTCATTCTTTTTTGAGCTATACTCAGTGTATGTTGTCAAATTTGACGGCGATTTTGAAAAGCTTTAAAAAAGTGCTATTATGAGTGATTTATATCACCAAACCTTTGCGCCTTTCTGGCGAATGCACAGGAAGAAATTTCCTCTGCATAAACAAGCGATTATTAATCACTGGTTAGACCAGATGATGAAGTATCCTCGGCCTATGGGTAAGTCTAAACTTTGTATGTTTATTCAAATATTAGCAGTTTTGCAAATTATAAAGTTTTTAGTAGACAAAAATTAGTGAAGACATTTATACACTTTCAAAGAAAAAGAAATTTCAAATGTTAGTAGTAAGACAATAAAAATTTGCAATTAACTTAAAAACTGTTACTGCACTAAATGCCATGATCTATATCATTACTATTGAATTGATGTAGTTTGATTCTGCTGTATTAGTACAGTAAAAGATAGCACTCTTCTTTGTGGTTATAATTAAGTGAGCTTATGACGAGTTTAATATCTTTTCCTTATTTTGTTTCCTGATATTAATTTATTTTTTTAATTTTTAATTTTTTAAATATTCTTAAAGACTATTTTATTTATTTATAATTTTTATTTTCAGCTTTAAAAATATTTCTTTTCAATTTCTTCTTTGTATTTTTTATTATTTTGGATTCTATGTACTTGCAGCTTATGCCCATTTAATTAAACTTATTATTATTTTTCTTAATTTTCTTCGTTAATTTCTTTTTTCTTTTATTCTTTTTGTTTCTTTATTGGTTTTATTATAATTGTTTATAAATAGTAATTGTTTTATTAAAATTTTGTAATAAAGGGCAATTTTGAAATAAAAAAAGTGCGAAGGTTCCATCTTTAAGATATAATAGTTTCTTGCGACAAAATAGTTTGTTAAAAGTCAGCTTTCCCGTTAAACTGTTTTGTTTTCACGAGGGCGCAATTAAACGATAAAAATTTTTCATTACCTAGCCAAATTTCTCCTAAAAGGACCTTGCTAAGGTCCTTTTTGTCTTCTGTCAAAATAAGTAAGTGATATCAAAGGAGAAATGGAAAGAACTAGAAGAATCAGTAGAATAAAGTATTTTTCAAAAAAATTTCATTTAATAGAATTTTAATTTCTTACATAAACTTGTCTAATACTTTTTATGCCAAGCGGCAATTAATGTAATGATTACTTGAAAAAACTGCGCTGCTGATATTGTTATGATGTATCATAAGCAGGTTTTAAGCCAATTCTTAATACTATCAAGATTTTAGAATATTTAAAGTATTATAGTATTAAAAGTAAATTATAAAGTATTATAGTTTTTTATAGTATTATAGGCATTTGAACAAAATAAAAAAAGTTCCATTTTTCACCATAGACAATAGGTAAAAAAAAATCATTTCATTTACACTTATTTGCTTTGTAAAACATGCAATTATAAACAAATAATCATTAAGTTTGAAATAAAATTATGACAAACATGCACGTTGAAGTTACTTTTATAATTTTCATATTTGTAATAAATGACAGTCACAATTTTTAGCGCGTCGTAAAATTAAAATAACACAAGTCCTTGAAACATATTTTCAAAATAACTGATAACTTCAATTTAAAATTTAGATTACATTATACTTTTTAAAATGTGAAAAGTTGAATTTTTCCTAACTGCGAAATTATATTTAGCTCATGATGAGGATTATGATGATATTGAAAGTGAGGTTGAAACAATCAATGAGTAAGTATATATTTTTCAACTCGCCAATTGTGATATAATCATAAATATGCCGAATTTCCAAAAAAAAAGGGCACAAATTAAAATTATAAATATATAGGCACGAAAATATAGGCCGAAACAAACGGCACTGAGAAAAAAATATCGCCAAAACTACCAGAATATTGAGAGATTTATCATATCCGTGGATCTATGGGGGAAAAAAATCTTGGTAGTTTAAAACAAAGCACTTTGGTAAAGATTTTTGTAAAATTAACAATAATATATGATATAATTTGATAGATGAAGTAATATCTTAGATCGTGATTAAAAAATCATTGATCTGGTTAAAATAACTTCTTAATGCTTCATTTTTACTAAATGGGTGAGAATAAGAACTATATTTTTAAAGACTACAATTTTCGTTAATTCATCACCAAATGAGGAGAGAATGTACCAAATGAATGGTTTCAATACTGTATATATATTTTTTCTTTTTATTATCAGAATATGCTGTTCTTTTTTTATCAAAACTGTCATTACCACACTGTACAGTAATTTTATCTACAAGAGTATTTTTCTCTGGTTGTTAGCAAGCTTTTGCATGGTACATACTATCTTTCTGTTCAGAATTTTGTTTTTTAAGATTAGGATGGTTATTGTACCACAATCTATATTTTCACAACCCTAAACATCGATTGAATCACTCTATTGTGAAAGGCTAAGCGAAAAATCGTAAAACCTACTTGATTGCAGGAAAAAAAAACAAAGAAAAGTGAAAGGTGAAGAAATTCAATAATTTTAAAATGTGCAATCATATTAAAGGTATAACAAATGGCTTAATTTTAATATTATACACAAGCGGGTTTTTTAAGAGTTCATTCACTATGGGGATTTTACACTTTATTATTAAATTCATACAAAACGAGTGTCTAATGTCTTGCTGAAAGTTTATTTTTAAGTTAAGTTTTATTAAGTTAAGTTCTAGCTGAAAGTTTATTTTTTTAGCTAGAATCTAAACTGATACCATATTACTTCATCATTCTTCATTTATTATGACTTAATAGGAAACATTTTCGAAAATTAGGTTTCAATTGAAATTATAATTAGAAATTTCTTGTTGCAATTGAATTGATGTTGTAGCATTCCCTTAAAGTCTCTTTAATTGTACTGGTGATGTTACCTGCTATAGACTGGACAAGGAGCAGTACTAAAAAAAGAGAAATATGCTTTTGAAAAATTGGGAAACTTGACTTGGATTATTAACAGTTTTAATAGAAAATTTGCAGAAACACGAATTAAAATTAAGGCAAATCTGAATATGATATCGTTTCCTTTTTTAATTCTCAAAATGATTGTTAATAAACAAAGCTCATTACTTTTTAATTTATTATTGAACTTTCCTTCAAATTCATTTTCTTATAAAGTATCATTAACAAGACAAATAAAACATAAAATGAAGATTTTCTTAAAAAACTGCTTTTAAATCAGAACTAATTTTATAAAGGATTATACTTCATAATTATTATTTCTAAATATGGAAAGTATGTAGTAATTCAATGTAGATAATTAAAATTCTCGTAAAAAAATTAAATAAAGAAGTTTAAATGTTTGGTATCACAAACTAATATTTATACTGTTTGAGCTGTGAAAAAATACTACTGAGGAAGGTGAAGAGAATTAAGGCCTGGAAGAAATAAAAGATTGAAAACAAAATAATTAGAAAATCTCCAAGATTATTCAGACTCTCAAATTGATATCAATGTTTTCAGTCTACACTTACACTGATGATGATTTGCAATGATTTGTTAGATTTTGACAGCTAATTTTCTTCCAGTTTAAATAATAAGTTGTGACTATGCTTTCTAATAGTTGATAAGAAAATTTTCACATTTATTCACTAATTGACAAGCAAGGTAAAACGTTGCAAGATTTATTTAAGAAAATGCAAAATCATCTCGCGTAGCTTTATGAAACATATCAAAAGTATAAATTTAATTAAAATATGAAGAACTTAGAAGAACACTGAGAAAAGCTTGATTTTTAGTGATGATTTTCTTAATTGATTGCCAACTATTTTCTTTAAATAAAAAAAACAGGCATACCTTAAGTTATTTAAAATTATACATACACAGGAATTTATTAAGGTTCATTTTATGCTTATTTTAGGATTGTGGAAAGTGATTTTGGAGGTTCTGTGGAACCGGCAATTATTGAGAACATATCGGTCCAACCATTAGGTGATGAGGTTCTTAAAAACATCAGGTATGCTAATTTTTCTTTAAAATGAAATTTCTTCAAATTTTCAGTTAGTGATTTTGGTATGTTGTTTGATTTCTGCTGTTCCAAACGCTTACAATTAATCAGCAAACTATTAAAATTCATATTAGCAATTGTGCAGACACTCTTTAAAATTATTGAGCTGCTTATGATTGTAAAGATTGCATCCAAGTTATTATCTTATAAATATTCATCAACGGAATTTATACATTTATGATAAGTATTTTACATTTTCTTGTTTAAAGATAGTTTTCAAGTACTCAGGTTGTGATTTAACAGATAAACAGGATAAACAAATTTAATTTATGCAATATCTTTTTAATAACTAAAGATATAGAAGAAGCTCTACAGCAGGAAGTATAGTATTGCGGGAGATTGACACATGTAAATCATGAACTGCTTATACATTTATTTAAAAAAAACTAATTAAATCCTTGAATGAACTTCAAGGCCTCTTTTATTATAAATTCACTATTTAGGTGCAATTTAGATTTTAAAAAGCCAATTTAATATTCGTTAACTTAAATTATAAACAAACTGGTAAGAAAAAAGCAATTCCTAAATATGATATGTGAGCCCCTAAATACTAGACTCCACAAATTTCAGCAGTTATAAATATTTCACCTTAAATGTATTAGTCATAGTCTATTCAGTTACGATATACACCGAAGAGCCATTACATTATGACCACCCTCCCTCTAACAATGGACTCGCCCAGGTTTTCATGGTTTCTCGCCCAGGAACAATGTTTTCATGGGGCACATTAGGACCCATAATCCTCATAGAACAATCCGGATGTCTCTGAGCTACTTGAATATAGTTGCAGACCAGTTTCATGGCAACAGTTTTTCCTGCGGGGGATGGTGTTTACCAACAGGATAATGCACCATGTCATAAGGGTCGAATCGTCATGGATTGGTTCGAGGAACATTCCAGTGACTTTCAAGTCATGTCTTGGCAACCATATTCAGCTGACTTTATTCCAACAGAGCATTTGTGATCCTACTTAGAAAACCAAATTCATGCTGCCACGCTACCCCCCGCAATGTGAGGGAATTGCAGAACCAGTTGCTGAGCGCTTGGTACCAGATACCTCAGACTACCTATCAGCACCTTGTGGAATCAATGCCACGGCGGGTGTTGGCAGTTTTGAGGGCTAAAGGTGGTCCTACATGTTATTAGCAGGGTGGTCATAATGTAATGGTTCTTCGATGTAAGTATAAAATACGTCTGATATATAAATTTCTTCACCCTTTAACAATATAGCATTAAACAGGATAAAAGATTTTTAAATAAAATAAACAAAAAAATAACAAATTGTAAACATTTAAAACTTTATTTTTTAAATAACATAACCGATAAAATTGTAACCAGTATATTATTAAGCAGAATTTTGCAAATGTTAGTGAGCTTTTTATCTTAGTTATTTGAATCAAATTTAAAGCATTACTTGTACAATATTACCCCATTCAGTAATATTCATCAGTGTAGTTTTAAATAATTTGATAGTAAACACTTACACATTTTGTATGAAAAAAAATTCACCAGTTTTTATAAATGCCATACATCAAAATGTATACATCTATGTAATATGAATGATGCCGAAATAGTAAGCAATGAAATATTATGATTTTAGTGTTGACCTCGATGTGAAATATGATGAGTATGGGTGTTATGTTGAGGCCGATTGTAAAGATGAATTTGTTACTCAGACTCAAATGAATGAGAATGATGAAAATAAAAGGTATGTTAAATTGTATGCAAATTAGGTTTTATCAGCATTCCATAATTTTTTTTCTGAATATTACTTGTCTATGTTACATAACGTATGTTACATACGCATTACATAAGGCTCTCTCCAAATTTTCTCTTTCTTATTTTAACCAGTTGATTTCTGCAAATTTAACTAAATTATATGAAGATTGTTATAGGCAAAACATCTTATTTTTCACTTATCATTGGACACAATTCTACACATGATTATGGATGTTTTATCCCAGTTTTTTGCATAAAGAGCAACCTTTCAAGAATAAACTTCCGTAGTATGATAAAAAAATATGCGTTTTGCCCAGGACAACCTTCAACATTGTATCTTTAAATAATGTTAACAAGCTTTTACACATTTTGAATAAAAAAAATAAAGTATTGTTTTTTGAGAAAATAAGAAAACTTAAAATTAATGCATATGGTTATTACAAATAGTGGCAAAATAGTGAATAATGATCTATTATAATTTTAGTGTTTTCCTAGTTGGCAATGATGAATATGGATTTTATGTTGAGTCTGATGTCAAAGAAGGTTATGTTGAGGAAATTCCAGCGCATGAGAATGATGAATATAGCGGGTAAGCAAAATTAGATTTAAATTGAGTTTACTCTGAATTTTTAAATTTCTTTAATAATAATATTACTTGCCTGTGTAAGAATTACGTAAAGCTCTTTAAAAAGTAATTTATTTTTCAAAATAAATGTTTAACATTTTGACTTTTTTTAAATACATCACAAAAGCAAAAATAAAAACAAATATTTTTAAATATTAACACAATCTCAAATATTTTAAATAATTCTACTTTAAATAGATCTTAAAATATCTGCAAGTAATTATCGGATCCAGTAATGAAATCTGCGTATGGCATATAGGAGTCCCCAAATAATTCATAAAATGTAGGGGAGAGTCGGGTAACCCCGCCCACAGTCAATTTCATATGTATAGAATATTTTTTCAAGTCAATGGGCCATCGGACATTAATTGTTATATTAAAAAAAGATTATTTTCAAAGTTTCAAGTATTTATGCAGCTGTTAACAGGGTGTAATAATAATAAAAATAAAATATGTTGAATACTGTAGTCATAAAATTAAGAAAAATTGCTTGAATGTTTCGATTAAACTTCATACTAAAAAAATAATTTTTTCTATACATACAGCATTAAAGTATGTAGTCTTAAGTTTAATTTGCCCAAAGAAAGAAGTTAATACGTGAATAATTGTTCGAGTAATTACAAATTTACAAAAAAATTGGATTTCGGGTAGCCCCGCTCACATGAATGTCGGGTATCACCGCCCAATTTTATTTCGTCGATAAATGTACGGTTGCAAAGATTATTATTTTATTGCTTCAAATTTGAATGTTATATGCATTTTTAACAACAAATATTGTTGTTATTAAATGATTGTTATTAAATGATAGAATTCACTAAAAGTATATAAATATGTAATAAATAAAATAATTTTGTGATAAAAATGATAAATGAGGTTTATCTATTGTCAATACATTGGTCATTTTCATTTACACCTGAAAAAACAGTCAAAAAACATAATTTTTGTAACTGGGCGGGGCTACCCGACACATTTTGAAAAGAGCTGAAAAACATGTTTTTTTAAATTTCTATTTTTTTAAGTTAAACTATTCTTTTTTTGGTTTATTCTTTTTGCATTATTTAATTAGATGATAAAACAATAGAAACGTACAAAAATACTGATTATTACTCAATATTATACAGAAATATAAGCAATACTCCTTAAGTGAGTGGGTCTACCCGACTCTCCCCTATTTTCTTTTTACTCAAATTACAATTTCTAATTTTTCCGAATAAAACTAAAAAGATGATTTAATAATTAAAATAAATTATTAGAACTATTAACTCATGTGATCTACCTAATTATTTTCAAAGACAAATGGGTATCTTATTCTTCAGCATTAATTCTTAATTAATTAAAAGTTTCGAAAATTAATTTAATAATTAAGTAAGATGCTTTATAGTTTCTGTTCCAACGAGAAATGTACAAACCAATAAAAAAGGATACTGTATAGTCAAGTTTAACATAAAAAAATCTTTATCTTATTAATTATATAGACGATTGATTACAATCATCATTTATTAATTATGATCTGAAACTGTGAAAGTATGAAACACTTATAAATTCTAATACCTTTGTATAACTTTGAAGAAGTTAGAGCATAAGAATAATTTCAGAGCAAATTCAACCATTTCTTAAGAGTTAACACTAGCTTTATTTTTAAATAACAAAGATAAAATTTTATATATTAGTGATTAGTCAAAATTTTATTATTCAGATTTTATAGCTTTTATAAAGTCCAGCATACATATTATTTTATTTGACTGAATTCTATTTTCATGAGGCATTTTCCACCCTATATGTTTATATAAGTTTTTCATTTTTAGGGTAGAAAATACTAAATACTGCAAGAATTCATATTAAATACATATCCCTATTTTTTGATAAAGTTAAAAATTTAAAATGTATTCATCTATGCATTATAATTCGTGATGATACTTGAAAAATGACCTTTTATAATTTTAGTGGTGACCAGATTGTTGAGTGTGATGAATACGGATTCTTTGTTGAATCTGAATGTATTGGGGATTTTGTTGCTCAAAATCTGACTATAGAGAATGGTGAAAATATAAGGTATGATAATTTGTATTCAGATTGACTTTTTTTTAGTATATATGCAAAAATGTTTTGTTTTCATGCCTTTCTACATTTGGGGCAACAGAAGAATACTTCAAAATTTATTTTTATTTTCTTCTTTTTAAACTTTAATTGCTTTAAAGGATATAAATATCAAAAAAATATATTATAATTTTCAGAAAGACAAATAAAATTTTTTTTTTAATAAATTATCTCATGAGCTTCAATCTACTGTAATTTGAATAAATATAAATCTAATTAATTATGATATCATTAAGTAATAGACTTTCTATTTTATAGGTGAGTTATTGGGTTATAAATCCCGTCTAGGACATGAAATGTATTTTTTATTCATATAAGTTATGATTTAATTCATATAGTTATGAGTTCTGCTTAATAATAAAAAATTTTACAAAAATAAATAAATTTGGTGAGTAATGCGATACCTAAGCCTTATTATGTAGTTTGTTAAGCTAGAATCTTAACTAAAACTTGGTGACTATATTTTTTTCTGTTTATTAAGACTGAATAATATGTTGAGTTTTGTAATTTCCACATTATGTTGAATACCAATATTTTCAATCAAAATTTGGCAGAAACAAAACTAAATTAAATAGTATCTGAATTTCATTCTGCCGTTCCTTTTAGAAAATTAAGTGGGTGTTGAGAAACAACTCATTGCATTTTTATTTAATTTAGTATTTTCGTCATACCATATTTCTTTTTATGTAGATAAATATTAAAAAAAATCTCAAGGATAAATGCTGAAAGAAAATTTATGTAAGCAAAGGTGATGAATAAATAATGACATTTCAAAGGATTTCAAGGACTTCAAAATTGCCAATAAACTTACAAGGTGTTCCGTAATGATGGCCCTTAGTATACATTTTTGAAATCCATATCCACAGGGTAGATTGAAAAAGTATACTCATTAGGGATTATGAGTTTCAGCAACGATGAGATGCAACAAGTTCTTGAAATCTAACCAATTACTAAAGAGGAAGTTGAATCAGAAAGCATCGAAACATTTTAGATTACGGGAAGAAAAAACACAATTATTAAAAACACCACTAAGCTTTATCAGGCAATTAAAGTAGTTTCAATATTTTAGTCTCCTTTTTATCAGTAGTGATTCTTTAGATTTCAATCACGTTTTTTTTTATCTGCTTAAAAAATAATTTTCAAAACACAATTATTTAAACACACAATATTAAAACACAATTATTAAAAACACCANGAATCAGAAAGCATCGAAACATTTTAGATTACGGGAAGAAAAAACACAATTATTAATAACACCACTAAGCTTTATCAGGCATTTAAAGTTATTTCAATATTTTAGTCTCCTTTTCATCAATAGTGATTCTTTAGACTTCAATCACGTTTTTTTTTTATTTGCTTAAAAATAATTTTCAAAACACAATTATTTAAACACACAATATTAAAACACAATTATTAAAAACACCACTAAGCTTTATCAGCTGTTTCAATATTTTAGTCTCCTTTTTATCAGTAGTGATTCTTTAGATTTCAATCACGTTTTTTTTATTTGCTTAAAAATTAATTTTCAATAATGATGGTTCAGAAGTTCTTGCACTAATTGCCAATCAAACTAAATTTCATTTTAATAATGTTTTAAAAGATTAAAAATTATTAAAACATTTTTCACTTAATAATTTTATAACTGTCGCTTTACCGCCAACCCAATTTTACGACTACTAATGTTCAACTCCGTAGCCTTGTAATTTTGAACCCAATCCAGAAGACAAGGAAATTTCTTGGAGAAATTTGCCTTCTTCGAGGACTTTTTGAAGGAGCTAATCCGCATTTGCGTTACATGGAGAGGAAGACCACGAGAACCTCCCACGGTTAGCCTGACGTCAAAGGGACTCTATGATCCGTCTACCATTGAGGATATTTCATGCCAGCACTGTGGTCAGTGCAAGCCGGATGCGGAATTTGCATCGACTGGGATTCGATCCCGGTTCCCCGCATTGGAAGGCGAACGCTGTATCTTCTGAGCCATCGCGGATCTATTTTCAAAACATATTCTCGAATTTAAAATAACACTATTCTTAGTATTAAAAAAATTTGGTATTTTTAGAGTATTTACATATTTTCAGTTAAGAATTTCAGGCTGAAATATTTTAAAAGATTCAATTTTCACGATTTATTAAAAAAAAATTGTATAAACTTGCGCTGATTACTCACACACAAATTAAAACTTAACCCACAGATATCTTGAAACCAAAATATTATTCCCTAAAAAAAACCATTGATGAATTTCTGAATACGCTTAAAGTTAACTCTTTCGTTTCAAAATAACTAAGCACTTTATAATTGAAAAAAATAATGAGAATCTATTATATTTCTTAAATTTATGCATTGAAAACTATATTAAAATCCATTATGTTCGTTTATAATTTTAGAGCGACGTATGATTTCGGAGGTTCTGGAGACCCCGGAATTGTTGAAAATGTTTCTGATGAGAAACATGGAGTTGAGGAATTTCAAAAGAACAGGTATGGTAATCTGCATTTAATTTGATTTTTCTTAGCAATCTTTAGTTTTAATGCTTTTTCCAGCTATTTCAAGTACTTTTGATTAATCAGAGCGCTTTCAATATTTACTCTTTTTTTCACTTTTTTGAACAACATCATTGAAAAATTGAACAATATGTGTCCTGCAGGTAAATTCAATTATTTATGGCCCATGAATGAAACTTTAATTAAAAGTACCATATTAGGCCGTTTTCTGCATCTGTAAAATATATATTTCTAAATATAAATATAAAAAACACAGAAATTAAATAATTGAATAAAAAGAATTATGATTTCAAAACTCCAACAGCGACATAGTACTTTCTTGAATTCATAGCCAATATTAAAAAAAAAAATTTTTTTTGCTTTAAATCTGTCAAAAAAATATCGTTTAATTATGAAATATACCAATATTTTTAAAAATTATAAATAATTATATCTTATCACATTCAGTTTTGAATTATTTTTCTGATAATACTCATAACATTCTCCTATATATTCATGAAGCGAATTTTTATGTTTAAAATAGATTGTAAAATATTTTTTTAATAAAAAAAAACTAGTACTTTCTTGACTTCATAGTCAATATTAAAAAAAAAATTTTTTTTGCTTTAAATGTGTCAAAAAAAAACTAATAATTATTAGATATACAATAATTATAAGATATATAATTATAATTATAAGATATACAAGTACTTTTATTTAAAATAACCATATCTTATTGCTTGTAGATTCAAATTGTTTCCCTGTTAATGCGTATGACCTTCTTGTAAATATTTAAAAAACGAATTCATACGATTAACATAAATTAGTAAATATTCTTTTAATAAAAAAGTGTTCATTATTTAACGATACAAATTATGATTTCGTAATTATACATCACTCTAACAAAAAATTTTTTTGTTCATCTTTCTAATAACTAAAGATAGAGGAGTTGCCGTCTTGTCAAAATCATGTAAATTGTTCGAAAACTTTTACTGAGATACACATTAAAGCAATATAAAAAAACACATCCTCACATATTATACAGAGCTGTATTCAAGCGAACATCGATGATATAACTTTTTAAACAGTTTAAACGACAATGCGTTTCCAGTTGTAACAGTTCCTAATGGTAAATCTATTCGAAGAATTCATCTTTAAATTTCTCTACTAAATAGAATTAGATAAACCTTTTGATAAGTTTTGAGGATTTAAGTCTAAAGTTGAACCTTGCACCCACTGCTCAAATTTTAGAAATTTAACACTCTTAATTTAGAAGAGAGACACACAGGCGCACACAAAAATTCTTCCTTTTGTTAGTTAAGAAAATTTTCTCCAACAACTGCTGTATGAAAAAATTTTCTCCTAGAATAATAAGTATTTAACTTCCACAAGTTGGTTGCAAATATTTTGAACTGAAAGTAATTTCGTTATTTTTTAATTAAATTTAAAAGCATTTGATTTAAATTTAAAAGTCTCATGAATTAAAAAACACTCTTTGCTAAATGAAAGTTTAAAATCACAACGGGTTTACCTTCTTACACTTCCTAATTAGAAATCTACTTTTTTTGAAAACAAAATTGGTATACATAACTATTCTTCATCTATGAAGTATCTTACTTTCATATTAGTATACTCAACTATTACATCAAAAGCAATATATCTAATATTTCTAAGTTCATAAATACCATTTATATTATAAATTATAAAGACTTATTTAAATATCAAAGAAACTTTACGTTGTTCATTTTCGGACACTTAATCCTGCAATAATCAATTAATAAAAGTTTTTTGATTTCAAAAGTAGCATTCTATTTTGATATGATTTAGTGATTCATCAAAATGACTAGGTGCAGATGTTACTTTAATTATAAAAAAATAATTTTTTTTCAGGAAGGGGACCAATTTGAATGGTAAAGGAGGAGATTGCATTACAGATGTGAAAAGAAAAAAGAAAGGGTTTTGGTCCTCCTTCAAAAATCTATTTTGTTCCTGTTGCGGGAAAAAATAGACTTGAATGAATCGAAATGTATGTAAAGTTGTTGCGGTCAGGATGATAAAAATTATGAGATACGTAAAGGAAAAAGAAGAAAAAAAAGCTATATTGCAAAAAAAAAAAAGAAAAAAAAAATTGTATTTAAAAAAAATTTTTGAAAACAATTTAAGATAAAAAAAAAAAAAAAGAGAGAGAAAAAATTTTTGCTCTTCTTCGTAAAACCTATTTCATGTCACGGAAGGAAATAAATTTGTATGAATCGAAATGAATGCAAAATTATTTTTCTGAAAGGATGATAAAGATTGTGAGATCAACTTGAATGATAAAAGAGAAAACCACATTTCAGATGAGAAAGAAACTAGTTCAGATCTCCTTCATAATCCCTACTTTGTCCACGTCAGAGAAAGCAATCGACTTGTATAAATCAAATAGATAGATATTTTTGCAACAAAAAAAAACTGAGAGAACTTAAATCATAAAAAACTACACTACTGGTAATACAATAAAAAAAATTCATTCTGTAAAAAAAAAAAAAAAAAAAAAAAAAAAAAAAAAAAAAAAAAAAAAAAAAAAAAAAAAAAATTTNAAAAAAAAAAAAAAACAAGGGGTACGATTATAGATCCACCTCCTCGTGGTGTACCCCGGAAACGTTTCGACGGCTAAGAGATCTATAACTCTAAACTTCATCAGTTTTTTTTCCTCTTCTGAGATATTTTAATCAGTTTATTGCTGTATTGAAATGTTACTGTTAAAATCTCTCACGAAGCAGGATAGGAATTCAGTTTAATAATCATGTTTTTAGTAAAATATTGATATTAAATTGTTAAAAAAGGTAATTGTTGACATTTTTAATAACAAAAACATCGAGATATGTAAAGATATTAGTTTGAAAATAATTTTCAGCGTTAAAAAACCATTTTTTATAAAGAATTTTTTCTTAAAAAGAATGTTTATTTCAAAACATTTGAGTTTAGACAAAAGGAAACCATATACATTTTTGAACATTTAAATGGATGAAATTTCCAAAATATTAATTACTACATATTCATTAACATTTATAATAATGATAAATTTGAACTTAACATGCTTGAATGAACATGGCAGAACTTGCTCTTCAGTTTCTGTCAAAATCACCTGATGTCCTATGAAATATATTTTTATGTGTTAAATCGTTTGATTAATTCACTAGAAAAATCTTTGTAGAGGAAAAATAATAGTTTACCTGCACGTTTAAGGTGTTTTTTGTGAATTTTATTAGAGATAGTATTTCTGTGGATTTTGTACTTCCGAGAAGCTTCTGCAATCGACATACCACCAGCAACTGCTTGCAAACATTGTTGCAGCTTTTCTAAAGTGTAATCACGGTGGTTTCTCGTTCCAGGTATTTTTTTATAACGTCTGACCATTTTTCTGTCGAAAAAAAAAACGAATGACACTTTGCACAAAGTAGCCCCACAGTGCATTTTTTTTTTCATTTTCCGTTTATTTGTTATTAATTTTCAATTTTTTTTTAACGCTAACATGATATAATTGTTTATTAATATATAAATAAAGACTTTCGCACTTACGACAATTGTTTTATCAACGTCTTTGCATTTCACAGCTAAAGTTTTCACGCACACTTTTCGACGTCCGGCGTTCTCAGAAAATTTTTGACATTGGATAAACAAAACACACTCTGAGATTGTTTTAAATTTCGAGAAAATGTTTGTAGTAATAGAGGAGACTTCTATCTTCAAATTCCACACATTTTTAACGTGAAAAAAACATAATACTGAATAGCAGGATTTGAAAACTGCCAAATTCGAATTTGCACAAAGTAGCCCCCGCTGCACAAAGTAGCCTCACATGACGGTACTCACTTTTGGTCTTTTAAGAATGAGCGAGTTTTAGGCAGTGTTTTTTTTTCCAGCTCCCTGCAGTGAATTTAAATTATAGCCGTAATTAAAGAAGCTCAAATTTAAAAAGTCCCCTGGAAAGTGCGATACATATTGAAGTGAGGACGGTATAATTACAGGAGCGTATAGGAAGATACGCAAATTTCGTGGTACCGTGTCCAAAAACTAGAACAGGGCTTCCGAGAGAATTCCGAGTTAATCTAAGAGCATCTAGTAGGGTTTCTTGTTGAAGGTTCTATTGTTGACCAAGTCACAGTTTTCAGCCATGCAATCAAAAACGCCTTTAATAATCGGGAAAACCTGACAGCTGTTTTGGTCTGTTTTAAAACGGCCAGTTGGAGCCAACTATTAACCCAAAATTTTCTTTTTCGTGTATCAAATCAAATACAATAAATTAGTGCCCAGTTCTCCGTGGTCAAAGCTGCTGCAAGTTTCGATTTAGAAATATAATTTCTATAAATTTTAATCCTCAAACTAATCATCCCCAAGGTACGGCTGACAGCTTTTTAATGAATTTTAATAATATCACAAAAAAATTGCCCTCGTAATTTTATATATTCTCAGTGTTACAAATGCCAACGACGAATGGTCATGTTCAGCGAAATTGTACCCATGATCCCATATGTTCGAAGTGTGCTGGCCTGCATTTTCCCTGTCAATGTGCTAAGAACTCTACACCACCACTCAACAATCTATACCAAATGTTCTTTTGATCATTCAGAAAATTTATCCTGATGTGCTTCAAGAATTAAGAGAAATCTGCTTTAATGAAAAGATAAAATCAGAAAAAAAACCCACAGTATCAGTTCTGCTTATTAAAGAAGTGAAGACTCTATTTGAGGATGAAGAAATTATAGGTTTATGTTGGGCATTGCAGCCCCCCCCCCTCTCATTCCCAAGCTCCAACCGTACGCAATGTTTTCGGCGAGTCAGACTTCAGTCAAAGGATCTAACGGAGATTAACTATTAGTTAATATATATAACAAAATACCATTATATTAGGAATCATAAAACATTGTAACTTATGAAAAAATAAACAATTAACTGTTATCTCCCTTCCGCTAATAAGTTTCTAAGTCTTTATCATCTGTCATCTGTCTTTAGAGTAACTCTTAAACGACGTAAATTGCATTAGGGAACAACTTTTTTTCTGTTGCATAAGATTTTTCAATAAGCCTGCTAACGGTTTCACGCTACAAGAGCTAATTCTACGCAATCTCTCGATATATATATATATATATATATATATAACGGCGAAAGACCGAAATCGGTGGTTGTTGACTTTCACCGGTGAATGTCGACAAACACCAAATACGTCGGTGAAAGATCGAATATTTCATTACATTCTTGCACATTCGGACCCTCACCGGTGTATGTCAACAATCACAGATATGCTTTGGTGAATGTCCGAAATATTTATTACATTCGATTTGATATGAATTTATTCGTGGATATAATTACATTTATTCGATATTTTA